TCCCATCACCCCCGTCCTGTGACGGGCCTGTCCTCGTCTACCGGCCGTCACGCTCACTGCGGTCCCTCGCCCCGTCCTGTGACGGGCGCGTCTCGTCTACCGGCCGCCCGCCCTCACCTGCGGTCCCTCACCCCCGTCCTGTGACGGGCGTGTCTCGTCCACCGGCTGCGCCCTCACCTGCGGTCCCTCACCCCCGTCCTGTGACGGGCGTGTCTCGTCCACCGGCCGCCACGCTCACCTGCGGTCCCTCACCTCCGTCCTGTGACGGGCGTGTCTCGTCCATCGGCTGCCGCCCGCGCCTGACCTGACCTGACCTGACCCGCTCGGCGCCGCCCGGCAGGAACACACGGGCAGGGTGTTCCGTCTGCAGTTCGACGAGTTCCAGATCGTCAGCAGCTCGCACGACGACAGCCATTCTGATCTGGGACTTCCTCAACTACAACCCCCGCCGACTGCGTCCGGCAGCCAGGAGATGGAGGCCGACGGCGGCGACGAGGGCGCCGCCGGCCTGCAACGCGCCGTCCGCACCACACCCTTGACCCCAACAGGTACCGCAAGTAAGTCGGCTCGCGCTGCCGCTGACCACGTGGCTCGAGACGGCGGCGGCGGCAGGGCGGTTCGTGGAAGGATCCGGCGGTGTCCAAGTTTACTTTCTTAATTTTATTGGAGGATTTCGTGGTATCGGTGATTTTTCGCCATCTTTGGCAGTCGTTGGGCGTGGGTGTTTTCTTGGGGTCCAAGCAGATGTCTGCACTGAACTCCCCTTTATTGCTGACCATCTGTATTCTCGTTCCGCCATCTATATAGCTGCCCCCCTATATTCCCGCCTCGCCTCCAATATAGCTAGGAAAACAAATGCCAACCGGTGGGATGACACCAGTGATTTCGATACACAGCGGATTAGCAGGGATGTGTCATGTTTGAAGTTGACCTGTCTCACTTACCGGGTTAGTTTGAGGTACATCAGCTGCAGTGGCTGTAGTGCTCGTGGCTGTGTGGGATTCTCGAAAATACCATGGTGTCCACTGCAGGCTGTTTTCCATGGCACATAATTTGTGGTCAAGTTTATGGCAATTGCTTGTTATCGAAATGTAATGCATGAATGTTTGTGTGCCTCTTGACATTTTGGACACATACCCAGTGATCCTCAGTGGCGCCGGATGTTCTCTTAACTGATCGACGTCTTGGTTTTTTTATCCATGTTGTCGTGCATTCCTTTCAGATGTTTCGTTATCATGCGCAATCGGTTGTAGTGCCCCAAAATGTAGGGTAAAATGTATTGTCACTGACTTTTACCGGACGTCGTCATTTTCACTGCTTCCGAAAATCCCACTGTGTCATCATGTACGGCCATTCGTACCCAGCTAGCGGTGCGTATTCCCTGCCCGACCGCTCTGCGGATTTCGCTTGCTCCGTTGCGTTCGCGGCGAACCGTCGGCACGCTTCCGCATCTGACGCCGCCGCTCGTGTCCACAGCCAGAGGGGCGACGACGAGCTGGATGTGAGCCACTCTGCGCTCGGATAGATCTAGGAGACATTTTAAACCTGGTTTATGTTACGTGGCGCGCCCGGACGGACAGCTGTGTGGTCGGGCGGGTCGGCAGGGCCATACGAGCGGCCCGCCTGCAGTGATGCGCCGCAGTGGCCGCGCGCCGCGGCTCGCAGGGATGCGGGGCGCGCCGTCCGCGCCGCCGGGCGTCGGAGAAGAGTCAGTCCGTCCGCGCCGCCAAGTGTCGGCCGTCGCGGGGCGCGTGGTGCGCGCGGCCGTCCCCGCTGGCGGCGGCTCGGCCGGGCCGTCGCCGGCTGAGCTGGGAGGCGGCGACGGCGTCAGTGCGGCCGCCCGAGGAGGCGGCCCCAGCGCGCCGCCCGCGCGCCCGCCGCTCGACCCGCTCCGTGTGCGTGTGTACCTGTGGCGCGGCTGGGCGTTTTATCTATGTGACATTGTACACGGCGATAAATCAGGTTAATTCGATTGCGCACGTTTCGGTGATGCTCTGCGTTCGGGGGCGGGGGAGTTTTCTTGTGATGCCGTGTGGCGCGCGTGCGCCGCTGTGGTCTTGTTTTGCGTCGGCGGGCCGGTCGGTCCGCGGCCGTCAGGTCGCCAGGCGCAGCCGTTCATTCCGTGATGCCAGAATGTCGTCCGGCCGCCTGGGTTGTTGTCGACGTGTCCATGCGTGTGTTTGTGTGAGAGGGAGAGAGAGAGGCGAGAGAGGGAGAGAAAGCGGAGAGAGGGGAGAGAAGCGAGAGAGAGAGAGGAGGGCGGAGAGAAGGAGGCGAGAGAAGAAACGAGAGAAGAAGCGAGAGGAAGAAAGAGAGAGAGAGAGAGAGAGAGAGAGAGAGAGAGAGAGAGAGAGAGAGAGGAGAGAGAGAGAGAGAGAGAGAGAGAGAGAGCGCAAGAGGGTAAGAGAGCAAGAGAGAGAGAGCGGAAGGGGGTAGAGGGAGAGGCAATAGAGGCGCGTCCGACCGGCCGGACCAGGGCCAGCGAGCCTGTCCGCCATCTCTGGCCGTCCGTGTGGCGGCGGTGCCAGCGAGTCGTGCCGCCGTCGCGATGGTGTTGTCGGACTGTCTGGGAGCACAGGCACTCACGCGCCCCGGCCGCCCAATCTCTCGTCCCACCCACAAACGGCCGCCGAGGCGCCCGGCAGCCGCCGCTCTTTCATCCATGTCCACACTCGTCCGACATGATTTGGCATTACAATAAATTGAGTTCTGCTCGACACTGCGTGTTTGCGGGGGCTGGGCTGTCGTCACGTGACGGCATGCTGACTGGTACTGCGGACTGGTGCTAGGGACGGGGCTTTTGTCACGTGACGGCGTGCTAACTGGTGCTGGGGACTGGGCCTGTCGTCACGTGACGGCGTGCTAACTGGTGCTGGGACTGGGCTGTCATCACGTGACGGCGCGCTAACTGGTGCTGGGACTGGCTGTCGTCACGTGACGGCACGCTTGCTGGTGCTGGGGACTCACGCATCGATCCTGCCGGGTCAACATGAACACTCCATGTTGTGCTGGCGGTATCGGTACCGTGCCCGCGCGATGTACCGGCCGCTGTGTCGGTACTGACGGGCGTCGCTCTACATGTGTGGGACGCGACCCACCCGGCTCTGTACAGGTCGCCTCTCCGTGCCCCGCCCTGGGGCGATACGGACAGACGCTGCTGCGCAATGAAGCCACGCGACGCTTGACTTCCGGACGTGGCGCGGATAACAGCTGACCTTGTGAATATCAGCTGGCGCGTCCGTCGGATACCGCAGCGTCGCCCGCGGCCTCCGCTTCTGTCACCGCGCGCTTGCGCGGCGCGGTGCCGCGTATTACGCCACCGGCATATCTGCCTTGCATGAGCACCCTCGTTCCCTTCGGGCCGTGACGGTTCCGGAGCCGAGATCTCGCGCTTCGGTGCCCCACAACCCGTGCGTGTTCTCACCACCTGTCAAAGGGGGGGGGGGGGGCAACGGCACATGGTGCTCAAACAACAGACGCTTGCTTTGTTTTGCCTCAGCAGGATTTATCCCGACCCAGACGGTGCGTAGGGTTGATTTCGACTCTAAATTTCTAAATAAACTTCTAAATAAATTTCGATCTCTAAATTTGATTCTAACTACCTGAGGGGAGTACGACTGCCATGCACATTATTTGCAGTTTTCTGAATCTTGGCTCAAAGTGCGAAAATTATTGCCTCGACATAGTCGTTCAGCATTCTCACATGTCCAAACGAAAAGATGACTATAGCAGTGCTTCTGGACCTGGCTGGCTCCGTTGTTTGATTCAGTATCAGCAACACTGGCGTAATTATGCCTAGCGTGAAACACGTCGACGGGCAACGAACCTGTGCATTTCAGGTGCGCTGCGTACGGCTACTCAGAGGCAAGCGTTGTGGAGGTCGCTGGGCGCCAAAGGCGAGGGAGCGTCTCAGAAAGTTGGATTCCAAAGCAAACTTAGAGTTAAGTCTTTTTAATGCGTTCCCCTAAGATTAATGCCCAGCATTCTCTTAAAGTGGGGAGCCATCGCACCCACACACCCGTACCAAGGATCCAAGGATGCGGAAACCGAGGAGGGGGGGGGGGGGGGGGGGCGTGGGAGCAGCTCGTTCCCCAGCTTGAAAGCTAGGGGACAGCATCCCCCAACTTGGCGAGCCTGTGAAAGGTCCGCTCTGGTATGTGAAGGACCCATTATAAACTTTTAAGAGATTATATCAGCCTGTTTAAGTACATCCTGACCTGTCAGACTCATTCTGGCATAGGTAAGGTCCATTTTGACCAAGAGGGTAATCTGAGCCTGTAGAGGGCTTATTCTGACCTGCAGAAGGACCATCATTGGCTATTGAGGGCCCATTCTGTCCTGTAGAAGCTTATTCTGATCTCTAGACGGTCTCTTATTGACGGTGGAGGGCCCATTCAGGCCTTATAGGGGAGGCCAATATATTGTCCTAGAAAGCCCATTTTGACGTTTTGGAGTTAACCGCCCGAACTTGAACATAGTTTCCGCGCCCTGACCTGTACCCTTAATTCCTGTCATTTTATACTTGCACTTAATTCCTATGCCTATTTATTGATTAATCATGCCGGGCAGTGTTGGTCTTGCAAACCCGAGTAGATCCTGCTCCTGATACCATAAAAGAGCGCTGGTCAGGTGGTGCCACCTGCTCACCTGTCAAGTGCTGCCATCTTACTTCTCATAGGATTTTGCAGGAACTAATGTACCATTACTCTAATGACTTGGAGAAGTTGGTTTTACAAATGCTGAGCGATGTGTGTAAGCTAACATCAAATGATTCCAAATATAGCAAAATGGAAGGACAGGTCTTGTAAAAATTTCGCTTTTAGTGTCTCGTCTATTCCAGGAGAATTGGCACAAGCACGAAGTGGTCTAAAATGGCATGCAGTCGGCAGCAACGATGGATTTGGTGGTGACATGCCTTGGATTAGTCGTCCCATCTGCGCCAATGGGATCTAGTAGTTTTGTAAATATCTGTGTTGGTGTATTGTGTGCAAGAGCGGGGGTGGCACGCGTCGGTGGCGCTATTTTTAGTGTGATATGGTTTTGTGGTGCTTCGCAAGTATAGTTCAGGTTTCATGATTTCATCAGTGCTGTGGCCTTATCTGGATATCAATTAGCTTCAGAATTAGGTGAGTTTAGAGCAACGGGAAGTTTGTGTCCATTTTCGTCTCTTGTTTACCATGCAACTGCCATATTTAGGTCATCAAACAGCATACATATTTTCACACATGTTTGTAAGGAGATCTTGTCATCAAGCAACAAGTTTTAAGTTTTGTGGATGAAGTTGTGCATGACTACACGAAGAACATTTTGGTATTAACTGGACAAAATTTGCTATTGTTACTTGGATATGTATAAATTACAACTGTAATGAAAACATTCCAAAGACAAAGCCACAATCACATGTACAGTAGCTAATGCCTTCCTCTTAACTAACCCAAGAGCTGCGCAAGAATTTGTTTGTGTAAGGCTGGAGAGAATTTATTGATAAATACATTCTAAATAGGAGGCATCTTCTGTCATTGCACTTCCAAGAGTGGCAGCATTGTTGCAGTTGTTGTGGATACTTTGATGTTAATTTCCTGTCATGTTTGCACCACATGTTCCAGAGTTGCCTGTTGCCTAAGTGTATTGTCAAACATGGTGAGAGTGGTGTTGTGGTTAGGCGAGTGTAGTGTATTGTCCAAAGTTTGCAGCCTTCTAGGCTACATTTGAATGATACATGTCATGCATGCATTGAAGCATGCTGGGTTTGTCAGGACTGTTTCCCATAAGAAAGTTTGGGATTTTTTCTGTTGTGATGATAGATGAAAATGTAAGTTCTATGGTTCTGATCTCTTACATGTCAAGAGATGATTTCCTAGTTTTTTTTTTGTTTCTTTGTGGGCAATGCCATTTGATTTTGATGATACAGTTGAATGACTGATTGTTTGTTGGTCTTGTCATGGTTTGTTATCAAAGTGTCTTGTCATAAGCTGTTGTATTTTGTTTTCAATGTCAAATTTTAAAAAAAATTGTTCAGCAAGATCTGTCTGATTCATACCAGTATTGAATGTAAGCCTGTTTGAGCAGAGCAATGCTTGAATGCATATCCAAGGAATGATCTTATGACACTAATTGGTAGTCTGTAGGGACATTTACTGTTAGGATGGAAGCACTGTCTGTTGTGTAGTTGCTTTTGCTATACAGTTCTTCCAAATTGCTTTTATTGACCATTAACATTCACACCAAGAAAATGTGCTAAATTTTTCATTCTTAGTTCTGCTGTGAATGTCAAGCCATACAGCTCTTTGAATGCATTTTTGGGATGTTCTTGTTTGTCGGTGTCCCTGACCTCTGCAAATATATTGTGTACATGATAACAGTAAAGTCTGGTCTTATGTTGTCATTTTGTAGTATGTCAGCTTCTACATGCCCCCATAGAAATATAGAGAATGAAGGTCAAGGAGAAGAGCCTATCACACCCCCAATTCAGCAATACATTCATCCTTCAGGCCAGTGAAACAGTGTGCAGGCTTTAAGGAAATGTCCAAGAAGGCACAGTGACATTTTGAGAGTAGGAATTTCAGGATAATTGTATATGAGGTTGATGATGATGGATATGGTCACATCAGTGGGAGTGTTTTTAAATTTATTTTTAACATCTAGAGAGGCTGGCAGACAATAAGGTTGATGAGATGGCATGATGTCAGCAAATTCATCCATTGATGATAATCTCTGGGACATGGGAAGATATGGGGACAGAAGACCATTAAGACCCTTTGCAGTTAGTTCTTTAAGTTGGTGAAGGGATCTGCAAAACTGCTGGATGGGCCAGTTGCCACTTTTGTAAGTTATCACAGACCCATAAGTGTAACCAGTCATGAATTCACTTGTTATCTGGGAGAAGTGTATGCCATCAACAATGGCATTAGCAGCAGTGATGAGGCTGTTAGGCTTAGTCTTGAGTGTATCTGTGTATACACACACACACACACACACACACACACACACACCACCACGCACGCACGCACGCACGCACGCACGCACGCGCGCGCACGCACGCACGCACGCACGCACGCACGCACGCACGCACGCACGCACGCACGCACGCACGCACGCACGCGCACACACACACACACACACACACACACACACTGCATGTGGATGTACTCGTGCGGGGTCGGTTCGATGAGCGGAAGGTATTTCACAGTACCCCGGGAATGACACTAATCTCTCTTTAGCTACCGACTGACACTAATCATATGACATTCTTGGCTGGTGGGAAACGAATATTCCAATTTATTGCATGTTTTTGTCCGCCCTTGCAATAATCGATGACTGGTCTGGAATGTCGTCTCTGGTCGTAAAACTAAGGACCGGCGATCGTGAACGTAGATTCTCGAAACAAATGGCTGGGAAAATGGGTTTTGACTTGCAGGATGGCAAGGGCAAATGGACCTTGGATCAAATGGTCGGCTTTCGGCATCTGGGAGGTGGAAAAAGTGGCCATCGGATGTGTGACGTCACGCGGGTTATGTGCAGTTATCTTGGTTAGGACGTTATGTGCGGAACGCGCGGAACATTCTTGGCGCCCGGGATCGCGGAGCGAGCAGCTGTGTCTCGGCGGCCGGAGCGCCAGTCTCAGTCCCGAGGTGGTGCTGTCGATGGGCACCAGGTGCACGTCGGGAATGATAATGATAATGCTAATGATAATCCTCGGGTTTTGACGGTCGGCCGCCCTGCCAAGCTGTTGATGGCTGATGTTGATGGTTGATGGGAATCAGACTGAAGCTTACGTCTTCTGGTCATCGTCGTTCATGCTTTGCGAATGGTCATTCTCATGCGAGGCTCGTTCGTTCACCATGCGTTCCTGCGGTTAAATGTTCCGAGCCACAAAAATAGTGTGCCGTCTTTTTACGCTGTGCGATTGTGTAATGAATTGGATGGTGGCAGGTTCACCCACAGAAAGGCGGAACACGATGTAGTAGAGTGGATAGGCGTTTCATTTTCTTATTGCTGTTTGTTTTCGCCGACGCTGTTTGATATTAAAGCTGACTTTGAACCGCCATGTTAATCATCGTGTGGAGCTAATTTGTTTTCCTTTGTTATTTGTTTGCTTCATTTTGGTACATGTGTGATCGTTTGCCTTTCTTGGCGGTGTTTTGTGGTGGTTGGCTTTATCAAGCCTCGCTTAAGTAATTGAAATCAACAATTTAAATTATCCCGACATGTTTTTACTTTGAGCTGAAGGTGGTGACCCGCGTGGTTCTCTCGTATTGATGACTGCTTGTTAGACAAATTATCTCAGCGGGCCACTAATTTGTTAGCCCCTTTGAGGTTTCAAACAGCCTGTGTAGCGCTCATTAGCAGATGTTTTTCCCAGCCATATGTTCCGTGATATAAGACCGAGAACGGCCCCAATTTCTTAAGAACTTGTTTCGTCGAAATCCGTGGAACCCTGAGCTCTGCAACCCTCGCCTCCAAGGTCAGAATGCTTGGTACTTTCCGAGGTATTGAGGTATTGGGAAGTTTGTTTTTAAAACGTTAGACACGGCCGTAATTCGGACGCGGGAGTACTCAATATTCATATCCTTATGGTCTCCACGGCGCTGCAGTGACAATTTACAACGCTTTTTTGTAGACGTGGCTGGCTCTGAGTTTTCACCGGAGTATGTTTTTGAAACAAACCGCAAAGGTGGGCACTCCCTGTAATGATTTAAGACGCAAATTGTAGCCCAATGTGATATTCAGGCTTCATCTCTATAGCCGGTGTAGATTTTTCTGAAAAAGAACGTTGCCTTCGGCTTTTGCAGTGTGTTGTGTGGGCCCGTACCGTTGGCCTTAAAGGCGAAAATACGATCTACCGTTAGGCCTACTCGCTCGCACATACTCCCAGGCGGCACGGCGCGCGCTGTTGGTGGCGATGGTGTTTTCTTATTGCCGAGTGTGATATCAACTGACGTTTGAAGATGCAACTTATCTCTCAATATGGTGCCGGAGGGATTATCTCGTCAAGTGCGAGTCGTTTAAAAAAAGGAAGTCGGCTTTGTGTGTCGAAGTGTGTTTTGCGTCCGCGCTACCTTAGCCATAAGGGCGAAAGTGTCGTTAAGGAGAGCGTTCCACAGTTGTATGTTTTTTTTTTAACTGAAATGACTATCTTGAAGACAATTCGCTGCAGTGCACAGCCCTGCCCTTCCTAAGACGTAAATCTCTCTGGTTTCTGAGCTACACGCCCGCGAAGAACTGATCCGGTGAATTATTCCAACTGGTCACCAGAAGTATTTCTGAATTGCTCTGCACATTAAGTGGACTTGAATAAGCAGTTTGTCTGATTTTTAGAGCTGAAATGCATGTTAAATTGTCAGATGAGAGTATGCCAGGAAGAGCTTTGAGACAAGTGATGCTATGATTTGTTTAGTACACATACCAGACTTCTAGAGGGAGCAATGGCGAACTTTTCGACTAACCTGTTTCTTTGGGCCTCGGGCCCGATGGCGGCGCGCGTGCGCCTACATCTCACCTGTTTACTCTGGCGGGCAGCGGGCGGCGTGAGTCAGCCCCGGCGGCCGCCGTCGCCACCGGGAGAGAGCGCCGCCGTCCGGGCGGCCGGCCAGTGCTGTGCCGGTCGCCGCCAGCAGCGGACGCGCGAGACCCGCGCGCCATGGACGAGCGGCGACAGAGTGGCGGCGGCGAGGGCCGCTGCGTGCTGCCCGAGGGCGGCGCGCGGCCCGCCATCGTATACCCGGAGAGTGAGGAGGGCCGCGGCCGCACGCCCGGCGCCTCGTGCCAGGCGCTGCGGCTGGCCGTGGCTGGGCTCAGTCGGCTCGACGACTTCACCATGGAGGCGATCGGCCGCGGCTTCTTCTCAGAGGTGTACCGGGTAAGTGATGTGGCTGATAGCCCCTGGCCGGGGCACGTGGTGCGGGCCCGAGCAGCGTTGGCTGGTGACCCTGAAGGGCGTGGGTAGTAGTGATAATGTGTAATGGGTTGTCTGTTGACGAGTGTCACTCTGAATTTCGTTTTGGCTTTCCCCGTCGCGCCTCTGGCACTTATGCTGCTTGTGCTCAAACCACCCCCGTCCGCCGTCTGCGTGGCTTATGCGATCAATGAGTCAACTGACACTTTTCAGTCGTCAGTTGCTTGCGTCAGGTTACCACGTTCTTCATACACTTGTGTAAACAGCGTGGCTTTCAGCCCGTAGTGGTGGTGAGCTTGAGCCTGAAGTGGACTCTTCGGGGATTTCGCAGCGGTACTGCTGCGTCTTTGCTTCAGTGTTGAGCGCTGTCTGTTTGTCGCTTCTGCTAACATCTTCAGGCGCCACCACACTGGAATGTAGCCTCCGGATTATTTGCGTTCTGACGGAATCCGGTCTCACTCTTCCATCATTGTTTTTACGGGATCACGGACCGCGGTGCGCCGGCCAACTCTGAGATCACTCTCGCCACGTAAGCCCGCCCGCACAGCTCGCCGCTGCGCCTGCCGCGCCCGGCCGCGCGTCACGACGGGCCGGAGGTGCTCGCCCCGGATTTGAGCGGTGGCCGGGCCGATCCTGAGCGGCCGGCGGTGCCGCTCGCAGGACCCCTCCTTCCGGCTGCCTTCGTCCGTCCAGCGGTTGCAGCTGGCCGACAGCCGAGCGACGTGCCGCCCGCGCCTCCCGCGATAGTGCAGGTGTTTACTGGCGCGCGGCCCGCCGCCGCCGACAATGAGGATGGCCGAACCGTGCGTCGCTTCCGCCGCGCGCACCGGCCGCGCGCGCGCGCGCTGGAATGTTTGCGCAGGGCGGCCGCCGCAGCGTGCCAGTCCTGTCGGCTCCCCAGCTGATGGGCTGGGCGGCGGCTGCACAGCGGCTGCCGGCGGGAGAGACAGCTGTGCATGCACCGCGGAGTGGGCGGCGGGATGGAAGGTGCCGGGACGCCAGTGATGGAGGAGGGCGCCCTGCAGCCAGCTGCGGATAATCTGCTCTCTTTGTAATGGCTGCAATACGGGTTGTCGCGAATCCAGAGGTCGTTGGCGTGAACAGATTTCGTGGATGACATCAAGAGATAGCGTGGGCTGGGTTGGTTTGGATTTAACGTACGCTATGAACAATCCTCTTGTCCATTCGCTTAGACGAGGAGCAGAAGGTATTACACAGATATCGGAAGATCAGAAAAGAAACCGTGACGGCCGTTCTGGCACAATGCGATAGCCGGCGCCACCGGCGTCGGCTATCGCCGACGCCGGCGATCGCGCACATCTGGGAAAGCACCATCAGCAGGGGGCTGGACGGTCCGCTCGGAGAAACCCCGTGTCGAGATGATTGTGCCGGCAGAGAAGCGCGGCCCGGCGCGCTGGATCCGGCCGTCACGGCTGACCAGTCGTGGCCCACAAACGGCCGCGGCCCGGCCCGGCCGCGGCCCAGCCCGGCCCGGCCCGGCCCGGCGCGGCCTAGCCCGGCCGCCGCCGCCGCCGCAGCCCACCGGCCCCGAGAAATCACCGCGATGTTCCGTCAGCAGCGCCCACGGTGATGTCAGGCGCGCGGTGCCCACCGCGACGGCGGCGGGTGGTGGCGGTGCATCGACGCTGTGCCGTTCCCTCTCCGCCCGGTCCGTGAAAGTACCCGACCGTCATCGGCCCAGCCGTCTCCGCTTGGCGTTCGACGGAAGTCAGCACCGCCGTCTCAGCGTATGCCCACAGCCACTTAAAACTGACTAAGCACCCCGATGGCGCGTCCGCACGCCGCGAGCAAGTATGTCGCACACTCCAGCCGCCATCCAGGCGCCACAGCCGGCTGCTCGCGCGCCGAGTTTGCCGGCGGCGGTATTGGGCGGCACGAGCGGCGCCGTCTGCCGTGCGGCTCGCTCGGCACGCTCGTGATGCCCGGCACGGAGTCGGTGGTTCGCTCCAGCTGACCGGCAGCGGCGCGGCGCCGACCGGCCGGCGGCCGTGCGGTGCTGACCGCGCTCACGCCACGCCGCGGTCAGGCCGGCGCGCTCGGACGCGCCGAGATGCCATCTGCGCGCCTGTCGCCCATCTGTCGCGTGTACCCATTCTGTCGCGTGGCGGCCGGCGCCGCCGCTGGGTCAGTGGCGGTCAGGTCCAGGCCGGGCTGTCCGCCGCTGGGTCAGCGGCGGTCAGCAGCGGTCGGCCGGACCGGGCTGTCCGCCGCCGGGTCAGCGGTGGTCAGGTCCGGGCCGGGCTGTCCGCCACAGGGTCAGCAGGGGTGAGATCTGGGCCGGGCTGTCCGCCGCAGGGTCAGCAGTGGTCAGGTGTGAGCCAGACCATCTGCTGAGTGACAGCCGTTCTGCCACGACGTCACGGTTACATGTTCTCACTGGATATCCTATGAGTAGATACTCACGCGGTTTTCCGCCAGAGACAGCCGATGTTTGTCCAATCGGCTGTCCTTTTACTGAGAGCTGTACCAAATGGTATTAGATTTCAATCATCCCGTGCAGGTGGTCTCGTGGAACAGAGATCCCGGCATGTGTCGTCTCGTGGAGCAGTGATCCCTGCATGCGTGGTCTCGTGGGACAGGTATCCCGGCATGTGTGATCCCGTGGAGCGGGGCTCTCCACAGTCGCGAACTGTCGTGTCGTAATCCCCCCATGACATCTGTTTTTTCACCGTTGTCAGTCCATTGATCAGACGATAAGCCTTTTTCCGTTGGAAAATACTCAATGTGTACACGGCGTCCCCCTGCCCCGCTCTGCACCAGCCATCTGCTGTGTATCTGCTGTACGCTGGTGTCCGACGCCATTAGCAGCACCTATTTATACCGGAAGCACGTTGCCGCCACGCTGTTACGGTGATCGGTGAGCCGGGTCTGATCTAGTAACAGAGCGGCCGTATCCGCTCATTCGCCAGCCGGTGCGGTCGGCGGCGTCAGAGTCGGCCGCGATTGTCGGCGATCGTCGGCGGGGTTTCTCCCGAGTCCGGAGCCAGCTGTCCGGAGCGGGCCCGGCCGCCCGGCTCGGCGGCGCGCCCAGCGCCGGCGCCGGCCGCGGCGGCAGCTGGGGGCCGCCGGGCGCGCGCGCCCGCCCGGCCGCGGCGCGGCCGGCATGTGGGTCGGTGTGCCGCCGCGCCTGCCGGCCCCCGCGACACATGGCGCTCGTCGCCGGTGCGCCGGAGGCTTCGCGGCCGCCGGTCGGCCGGCCTCAGCGACGCCGTGCCCCGGCCGGCCGGCCTCAGCGGCGTCGTGCCCGGTCGGCCGGTCTCAGCGGCGTCGTGCCCCGGCCGGCCGGCCTCAGCGGCGCCGTGCCCCGGCCGGCCGCCGCGAGACGAAGGGGGGCCGCGCGCCAGGGCTGCGGCGGTGGCGTCAGAGCCTGTGCGGCCGGGATGGTCAGGCGGGAGTGGGCGTGGGCGGGGACAGGTCTTCTTGAGGCGGTGCTGATGAGCCGAGATCGCCGCGGCTACTGGCCGACACAGTTTCCGAGATTCAAGCGCCGGGCGATAGGCCGGTACCTGAATGCTCAGTGTCGGAATGGTGACGTCTTGAGTTATTGTTCACTGCCGACGCTTTCAATTAGGCCTCAGACCAAACACAGCGGTCGGAATCTCAGCCCGGGCGGCCACTTCAGCCAAGGCCACTTGACAGAAGAAGGTCAAGCATTTTGCCGCCGGTCGGTGGCCGTCCGGCGAGAGGTATTACTATTCATTGCGCTCGGCGCGCGCGCGCGCCCGTTGTGTGTCAGACGCACAGGTGCGCTCTCCCGGCCGCCGCCGCCCGGGTTGTTGACCGCTGTCGTATATGGCGCGGCGGCGGCCTTTCGCCGGCATCTGCTGTCGCCGGCCGTGGGCCCGCCGTCGTTCGGCCGGGCCGGGGCGGGGCCGGGCCGGGGCCGGGCCGGCCGGAGGACCTGGTGGTGACCTGGTGTTGACGGTCACGCGCCAGCCTGTCGGCCGCGCGTGGTCTGTCAGACGCACGCTGTCGCGCCGAATGCAGCCGGGAGTAGGACTCCGGGCGATCTGTGTCGGATGTGGCAATGGCTGCTCACGACGGGCGATGGCTGCCGTCTTTCAATCAGTGCGCGAGCGCGAGTCTTTCACCGAGTGCGCGACTCTCGGTAGCTTTTGTTTGATTGTGCGTGCTGTTTCCACACTCGTTTATTTATTACTTGACTGGCATAGCCGTACGGCCCCGTCATGTTGAGAAACCAGTCGTGTTGTAAGCAATGCTTCAGTGAATGTGGCGAAATTCGGCAAATCCATTTGGCGGCGAGGTGCAGCCCGTACAGGTCAGTGACGTCTCGTGACTGCGGCGCCGTTGGGGCGGCGGCGCTGGGAGCGGACGCCGGAGCGGCTGTCTGCTCCCAGCGCCGGGGCCGCGCGCAAGGCCGCCATAACGGGCCCCGAGCAGCAACGAGTTGTGTGAAACGCCGCCCAGCTGTTCCACTTGAATGAGCCCGGCCACGTCCGCCACCATAAGCGGCGAGCGATTGCCTCCAGGAGATAGGCCACGCGGGAAAGGGCTGCTGCGCTCTCGCGGCGCAGCATGTTCACCCGGGAGCCTTGTTTTGTGTCATGCCTTTCGTATTCGCTATTGACATTGCGAAATGCAGAAGCAAGCGATTTTGCATTTCCCTTAACGGTCGTCTGGAAAGCGAGCCGGGGGCGTCTTCCGCGTCTGGCATCAGTAGCTTTCGATAGCCCCACTTCCCCCGTCTGCGGCTGCTGAGCGTGGCCGCTTTCGTCCGGGTGGGCCGGGCCGAGGTTGGTATGTGCTGACGTCGCGGGCCGTCCTTCCCACGGTCTGCCGCCGCCACAGCACTGCCAGGGGCGGCCGGAGGGACCATCGTTGTCCGGCGCAAGCCTAACGGGTGGCGCTCACTGGCTGCCCGACGGCGCCGTCGCCCGCCGGCCGGGGGTTGCGATCTCCCTGAGCGCCGCACCGACCCACCGATCGCCTAGCTGACGATGCGATTACCGCCGACGGTGGCGGCTCTCCGTGTTCGTTAGCCGTCGCTATTTCGGTCGTGGCGGCTGGTGGGCCGGTCGCCGCGGTCCCGTTTCGAGGTTGTGTGCCGCTGGCACGAGAGGGCTGCGTTCCTCGGCGGGCTGGGCTTATCTTGGGATCGGCGCCGTCGGCCGGCCGGTCCCCGCCGGCCAGTGAGCGGCGAGCAGATGAGCTTTTTAGTGGCCCGCCGCCTGATTCCCCGAGAGGGTCGGACTCCGCTTAAGTCGGGCAGACAGAGCTCGCCCGCTGTACAGGTGTGTGGTGTCAAGGTGCCCATGTGCAGTTCAAGCGCCCGTGCTGGCACTGGCGGATACGTCGACATCTTGGACTTGTTTATCATGAGAAACATGCCCCAACGAGGTCGTCTTGTACCGACGCACCGGGGGTCCTCGCTCCTCGCAAAAGAAAAAACGAGAGAACGCCGGGCGCTTCCCACGCCAATTAGCCGCCGGTTCCGTGACGGCGGAAGACCCGCGCGTCCGGCTGGGCCGGAGAGAGCCCGGCCCGGCGCGGCCAGGGATGAGCCGGTGGTGTCGGCGGCCCGCGCCGTGCAGCGCCGCGCCGCCCCAAGCCGCCGTACCCGGCGGCGGCGGCGGCGAAAGCGGACCCGTCCATCGCGGGCGTGCCCCCGGCCGTGGCGGGCGCCGCCCGCCGCGCCGCACGCCCTCCCCCGCCATTGTGGCCGGCCGGCTGCGCGTGCCGGTCGCAGTGAGGGCGCCGGCAACGCGCAGCCGACCTCCACCCGCCCCGCGGCTCGCCCCGCAGACTGCCGCGCTGGGACAGGCTGCAGCGGGCCGGAGCTGGCCCTGCCGAGATGGTAATCGCCGCTCACGCATGCTGCAGGACGTGCCCTGTTGCACGCTGCCGTGGCGTGGTGTTTGTACCGAAGACCGTCAGATCGCAAACTCCAGACTGCAGCCTGTCTCCCAGTCGCAGATTGCGCTTTGCGATCGTTCGTGAGGCGGCCGGCCGGCTGGTCCCGCGAGCGCCTCCGCCTGAGCCGCCGTGCCGGTCCGGGCCGGCCGGCACGTGCCGGAGGTGGTCCGGTGACGCCGGCCGCTCTGTTGACTGCCGCCGCGACCTCGGCCCACTGGGTCACGGTCTTGGCCCGGCCCGCTCCGCGATCGTTTCCGGACCGACGGTACACAGACGCCGGCCAGCGCGGCGCCCGAAATGGGCGCCGGACGTTGGAGTTACGTCGTTAAGCTGTGATGGTGGTCTTGTTCGATAGCGGCGCGTCCATTAGATGAATGGTGGATTTCAACATCCGCGGCTGGTAACAAGCAGACGTTAATTGATTTCGCGGAACACTATCAGTGTTGCCAGCGAATTTTCTGTAGTCAATTTGTGTTCTGCACAACCACTTTGTTAAAGCCCACATGCCGGTGAGTCTATAAGCAAATGCGATACAAGGTCCATCCAAACTTGAAACCCCTGGTGCATTGGGATGGTGTTCTAAAGTGGCCGCATCAACGCCGGCGCCGACTTGACACCCACGCCGATGCCGTCCACATCGCGCCAACGGCGTCGTAAACCTCGGTGATTTAAAGGCAACAGTCCGTGCATGAGTGGGACGCTCAAGGCTTCGCGAGGGCCTATCGAAATCTGTAAATATTTACCGGCCGGATTCAACGATCGTGTATGTTATGTGTGGTATCGTAATACACACATACTACTAGCACGCGGTCTATCTGCTCGGAATTAACCATACAGTTGCTGGTAAGGCAAGTATGGGCGTGGGTTAAGAGGCGTTAGTGGCTGGCACTGTGTTCATTTGATTATTTCCGACGCCAGAAGCGGCAGGCGCGTCGGCTCCGTGATCGATCTGTCACGCCGCGATGTTAATCCCGCGGCAGTTGGCTTACCATAAGTAATCACTTTCTCCCGGTTTTGATTAGATCTGAAATTGACGGCCAATGGCAGGATGAATGGCATCTCTGTACCTGCGAGGGCCAGTGTCCGGCCAACAGACGGTGACGCGTCGGTTAGGAATAGGTCTCACGCAGAGGCTTGTGAAGCCTTAGGTGACCGGTGCGGCGCGTGCAGCCGGTCCCCTGGTACCAGGGCGGAGCGGCCGTCCGGGTCGTCCGCCCGGCTGACCCGGCGCGACCTGCGGCGGTCAGGCTGGCTGCGGGCTGCGCTCGGCTGTGACCTCGCCACAGTGTCGGCGGCGGCCGGCCGGGTCAGGGCCGCGCGCCTCTGCCGCTCCGTCCGCTGCGGCCCGGCCTGCGGTGTCCTCGTGCGACTCTTTTATGTCGCGACGGCTGAACAAAAAGCGGCGCGGTGTCTTGTGTGTTGTTTTCTTGCGCTACCGTGCCGCGCTAATCGCGGGTGATGACGACGTTTTTCCCCCCTTTCAGGTCGTGCATAAAACTACGGGTCAAGTGATGGTACTTAAGATGAATCTTCGGTCATCGAACCGATCGAACATGCTCAAGGAGGTGCAGCTGATGAACAAGCTCAGCCACCCAAACATCCTCAGGTGAGCAGAGGCGCCCAGCTAGAGCGTCAGACCCGCCGCCGCAGTTATGGATAGAGTCATCTGTCAGACCGCTGCTCTTATCGAACTGATCAAACTAGCTCCGATCTCCTCGACAACTGACCGTAAATCTTAAAAGAACGCTTATCACGGCAATGACGTATCCTCTGCACGGCGGCTTGCAAAATCCTCCGATTCGCTTGAGATGCGTTCGTCAACTTGAACTGCACGACTGCCGCGGCAGTTGGCAGTCCCCGTCTCACTGCAGCGCGCTGGCACCTCATACCGCTGTGGCAAAAAAGCCGGTGTTGCGGTCGCAGCCCCGACACGACTTCAGAGTTGCGCAGACGCGTCACCGGTCTAACGGTCTGCGAAAGAACGGCCGAACGACACCGCCGACCGGCGAGCGCTCTGGGGCACTACACTGTGAAGACACACAGACGCTGCCCGCCGCGCTGGCCGCCGGGCAAGGCAGCTCTCGTCAGCATGGCCAGCCTTCCGGTCTGCGCAGGTGACTTCCTGATGGGCAGCAAGGTCATGGCCGCGAGGCGGCGTGGCATCGGCGCTTTGACTTCCAGCCTCAGAGGCCAGGGTCAGTACCCGCGCAGAGATCGCCGTTCGATAAGCTGCCGCTGCTGAGCGGCGGCGAGCGCTGCGTCCCCGCTCCGGCGCACGTGCACGGCCGCGGGCTGGCGCGCGGCGCTCTTGGCCCGTTTCGCCCGCGGCCAAGACCTCCATTTGGCTGATTTCTCCAAATGCGGTGCACTTGGCAAGCGGAGTGCGGCCACCATGAAGTGCTCGAAGCGGACCGAGATAACGGACTATCACCCGACCTCGGCGGCGGCCGACACCGCCAGATAACGGCGACGCGGCGCAGTGTGCGGCTCCGCTGCTGGTCGTCGCGCCGGAGCGCCGGGAGCGCGTGTCGTCTCGCCGCGGCCCGGCCCGGCGCGGTCCGGCCGGGGCTGTTTGCGGACACCCCGCCGCGGCGGCGGGTCGGGCCGGCCGGCCGCGGCGGGTGACGGCGCGTCCTCCGACGCCGACCACCCAGGCGGCCGGCGCAGCGACTGGGCAGGCCGGAATCGCCGATGACGTGACCTGGCGGCCCCGTCGCCGGTGTCAGCCGCCGGACTCTCGCCGGCGGCGGCTTTGTCCGCGGCCGGCGGGTGCCGCCCGCCGCCCCCGCCGCCGCCCGCCGGCCGACACGGCCCAGAGCCCCGCTGCGGACCGGCGGCGGCAGCGGCGGCGGCGGCGCGTTTCTCCGCTGACCGGCCAGCCGTGGCGTCCATTTCATTTCCTGGCGCTGCCGACGCCGCCGGCCGCGCTCGTTTCACTGGCCTCTCACGGAGTGGAGCGCCGCCGCTTCGCGCTCCCGCCGCGCTAACCGCTATTGTTTTACACGTCGCTCGGCGGCGCATGAGAAATCCATAGCCGCCGGCAACGCTGGAGATCTGGTCAATGGTCGGACATTACCGTTACACTAGTCCGGCCGCATTCTTTCAGAGTCCTCTCGCGCTCGCAGCGACGCGGCGGAAGATCCATTTCGCCACTTCGCTGTTGGCGGCGTTCATTGCTCTCTCGATGTTGTCATTTGGCGCTGCTCCGCTCACTTCGGGCGGCGGCGTTTCGCAAGGCCGCGGGCGGCGGGCGAACCGGTGCGGCGGCGGGCCGGGCGCCGCCGCTCGCCCGCCGGCGGCCGGATCACGGGAGCGCGACCTTGCGCCGCGCCCCGCTCGACCCGCCGGCCGCTTCCGGCGGGCGGACCGGTGCGGCGTCGGGCCGCGCCGGCAGCGTGGAGCGCGACCGGGGCACGAGCGGCGGCGGCCGCCGCCGCCCGCTGCAGGTACCGCCGGTGGCGCGCGGCCGGGTAGAGAGTTTGTTTATCGGGCCGGTCTGATTCAGCGGCGCGCCGGCGCCGGCTGTCCGGCGGCGGCACGCCGTCGCGCCGCGTGAGGAGAGACGAGCACCAGCTGGCGGCTGGGCGGCGCCGGTGGCCAGCCGGGCCCGCCCTCGCGCCGGCCTTGACAAAACGGGGCGGCTTCCGGCGCGATGCCCGACGACCAGTGACACGTCGTGCTGCTGGCTGCATGTGGCGGGGCGGGCGGGTATGTACGCAGGCGGACGGCTCGGCTGATTGTGGGCGCGCTGCATCACACTGAACCCGCCCGGGACGCAGCTGTGACACAGGTGGCGTGCGCCCCACACCACAGGCCGCTGGTTCAAGTGGTCCACTAATACAGTGCTGGAGACCGTGACCTTTGAGTCCCTTGCCCCGTCCCCGGGCGGCGCAGCGAGTCCTGCCGTCGACGGTGAGACCGTCCCGGGCGCCGAGCCGGGCCGGGCGGCGGCGCCGCGGCGCGCGACGCGACACGGGCGGTGACGTCGCCGCGTGCTGGCGGACGCACGGGTGACGGCACGGTGACGACACGGTCACGCTCCGGGACCGCGGCCGGCGATAGGACTGCCGGCGGCGGCGGCGGCGCCGCTGCGTCAGCGTCTTGGGCCGCCGCCGCCGCCGCCGCTTAGACGACACGATCGCAAACACGGCCGGGTGACCGTCGGCGCGGGGCACAGCCGCGAGGCGGCCGAGTGTTTTGTCGGCGGGCGTTGTTCCGGCGGCGGCGGCCGAGTGGCTCGCGCCTGTCGCGCCTGGCTGGCAGGGTCCCGGGCGCCGACGCCGCCGATCCGCTCGGGGATTGGTGAACTGCTGAGCGAACGCGAGGCTAATTGGAAGAACTTGCCAAGGGCTTGAGCAAGCAGTCACGGGTGCGAGTGGAAGTGATCACCCGAGCTGTTGACGGATAGCTGTTGGATGGATGCCAGACGATCGGAATTGGTTTAAAACTCAACATAAGGAAACCAGCCGGACCGGCTCCTTACACCGTAAGCGTTCGGTTTTGAAAGCGTGGCTGCTGCGTGAATGGAGCGGCGAGTCGCGGTCCCTGGCCTTGGTCTGGTCTGCTAGCCTGGCTACGATCGTGGGCAGGACCCCCCGTCTCGTGGCCCCCTCGTACGTGCCGTCCCACCCTAGCGCAGGGCGCACGGCCGCGGCCGCACCGTCGCCGCTCAGGGTGGCAGCGGCGCCTGCCGGCCACCGGCGGCGGCGGCGGCGCGGCCGGCCACCCGCGGACGCCCCCCGCGCCGCCGCCGTCCGGCTTGCCGGCCAGGTGGCAGGTAATAACCAGTCCCCCCCCCCCGCTCTCATGGGAAGGCCCGGCGCGGCGCATGCCAGCGCCGGCTGACAGCCGACCGACGAGGCCCAACGGCTGTACCGCTGGTCCGACGCCAGCGCGGCCGCCGCCCGCCGCCGCTGCCGCCCTGGAAACGGGCGGCGCGCGCTCCCGTCCAAATCGCCCCGGTGGCGCGCGAGCGCAGCGAGGCACGGAAACGCGCCCGCGCTGACACCATTGTTGGCGTAACCGCGGCCGCGACGTAACGTGGCCGGCCGGCCGGGCCGCGCTTAAAGTAGATACTGCTGTTCCGGCTAATGGCGGACGTTATTGTCGGTGGGCCTTTCTAATGGATAGCGCCGTTTAGGGACTCGGCGGGGGTGGTTTGAGGGCGAGGGGTCAACCCGGCCTGACGACTCGTGCGCGCTCTCACAGCGACTCGGCGACCCGTGCGTCCATCTGAAGAGACACTGGTCGGAGTGCTGTAGTTCTTATGCGCTCTCTGTCTCTCTCAGCCTCTGTCTCTTTCTCTCGGTCTTTCTCTCTCTTTATCCCTCTCTCTCTCGCCCTCTCTCTCCCTCTCTCTCGCACGCACGCACGCACACGCACCTACATAAACACACACTGTGAAGGTTGCCCCGTGTGCTAGGCATCTGACGGGTCGCGGACGTGGCAGCCGAGAACGGGTAACGGGCGTAGCGGGTGCGCCTATCTCGATGCGCCCGTGGCTTGACGGCCGGCTGCTGGCCGCCGCCGCCGCCGGAGCGCCGTCCGGGGCCCCAGCTGGCAGTCGGGGCGGCGCGGCCGGCGCTGGCGCGGGCCGCGAGCCCGGCACCCCGCCGGCCCGGCAACGCCGGCCGCCTTCTGCGCCGTTGGCACGCCGAGCTCCCCCGGCAGGCATGCCGACGGTCCCGGGCGCCCTGCCACGCCCCCTCCGCGCCTGTCCTCTCTAGAGGACGTATGGCGCTGTCCGACGAAGAGGCTGGTCGCGTTAACGTACCCATCAGCGTTTTAGAGTATGGTTCTGCGACGCGGTGCTCGTCGCACCGTGAAAATGAAACTTACCCCCAGCAGTGGGACGGATATTTGACGAAACGCTACCTCACAGCAGGCGGCTAGGGGTGCTGTTAGGTGGCGTCTATCGACTTAAACCGGTGCTATCGGTCGCCTGGAGCCGGCCGGCGGCGTCGGCGGCGACGCTCCGCGCTGATGACGGCGCCGAGCAGCACGCGCCGTGTCGAGCCGGCCCGCACCCTGACACTGTGTCCTCTGCCGCAGGTTTATGGGCGTGTGCGTGCACGAGGGACAGCTGCACGCGCTGACCGAGGTGAGTGACACGGCGAGGCCGGCGACCCGCGCCGGTCGGCGCTGGGAAGGCGGGGCGCACCCACTGACAGGGTGCACGGAGTGGCTCACGACGGGAGCTGGAACAGCGCGCTGGCACGGAACGCGGCGAGGTCAGGGTTGAAGAAAGGGGCATGTAATAGCCGTTTCTCGGTGTGCCTCCGTGTACGAGTGGAGTTCGTGAACCTCAGTTGCAGCTGTGTTTCCTTTCACCGGGTTGTTCCGGCTGAGAGAATCAAAATTGAGCTGCGAGACCACCTATTGCCTAGCTGTGAATCCGACGGCTGTCATTTGGGGGTTTGATTGGTGCTGATATGTGCCAACAACCCTGTGCAAGAGCGCCGTGACAGGCTAGCGCCGCGAGACGGGGGCTTCCCGGTGCCCACGCAGCGCGGCGGGGCCGGGGATGGGGGTGTCGTGAGCACGGTGTCGCTGGACCGTAACGTGATGCGGCCGCAGCCCGGCCGCCGCCGCCACCGCGTCGTCGCCTGGCGCAATCTGGGCGGCCCAGTCATTCATCAGCGCCACGCGCCGGCGTGCAGGGGCCGGCGCCCGGAGTCGGTCGGCCGGCGGTGGCCACCGAGGGGTCGCGCCCGGCACGCTGTCCGCGGCCAGCGGCAGGCACCGTCGCGCGGTGGCGTGCGCGCGGAGGCTGCACGGCTGGCGGCGGACCGTCAGCGGACGCCGTGAGCTGCCGCCGTGAGCTGTGAGCCGTCGCCGTCCCCCGACTGCACGCGGAGCGGGGGCCGGTGCCGTGTCCCGACCGACCTCCGCCTCCTCCGCCAGCACAGGCTCGGCTCGCTGGGTCGGACGAGGTGCCAGCAGAGCCGGGCTGTTCTTGGAGGTCGGCGTCCCAGCGCCGCGGCGGTCGCTGTGCGGGGAATTCCCAATGCGGAATGGATTGCTCAGAGCCCTGTCCACACACCGGTCCGGTGCGCCTCAGTGTGCGCCGTTTCCGGCGCGGCGGTCCGCGGGGACGGCTCCTGCGATCGGCCGGGTGCGGCCGGGGCTGACGGCGGTGGGAGGTGCGGCGGTCCGCGGGGACGGCTCCTGCGATCGGCCGGCGCGGGTCGGGGCTGACGGCGGTGGGAGGTGCGGCGGTCCGCGGGGACGGCTCCTGCGATCGGCCGGCGCGGTCGGGGCTGACGGCAGTGCGAGGTGCGGCGGTGCACCCGGCGGCGGCCGCTGAGTCATGTCCCGCACGTCAGCCACGCTCGACCGCCGGCCGTGCCGTTGGTCCTGCGTTCGAATCCACCGCGTTCTGCGTAGCGCGATATGAGCGCGGAACGCTCGCATCCTTGATGTTATCAACACTGTGACCTACAGACACTTATGTTTGCCGATGCAGTGGACGGCTTCGTCGGCTGCAGCGTGCCTTCTCAGGTTCGTTGTGACTTGTAAGCCATGTCACACAACTCTGGTAGCACACTTGTGGGACGGCGGTTTCATATCTCATTGTAAACCCGTGCTCCTTTTGTTTTATCGCGAACTCCGTTTCAGTCTGTAGGTGGTGCAGCAGGTGATGTCCATACAGCTGTCTTGAAGCGTACATGCTGCGTGCACTTTCCCTGTAATGGCGAGAGCAGTGCGTATTCGCGGTCTCACGTCCGACTTGGAGCGTTTCTTCTGCGCCATCTGTCGCGGCCGAGGTCTGCCTGACCACGCGGCGCCGTCGGTTGTCTGCCGGCCGGCGGCCCAGTTGGGCCCGGCGCCGTCACGTCCCCCCTCCGACGTCCGTCACGCCTCACGACACGCCGCCGGCGGGCCGGCCGGCGGCAAGACTTCCTCATTGACGCCAATTTCGCGCGGCGGCCGACGCGTGCGTGCCGGCCGGCGGCGACAATCGCCGGCGCCGCGGCCGACTTCTCCGGCCTTCCTGCTCTCGCCGACGGCCGGCCGGTGTGCCGGGCTGGCTGGCAGCGCCGGTCCCCGCCCCCGCCGTCACGTTCGACAGCTCTCCCACGACCGGCCGGCCGCCGGGCGACGCCGCACGCCTGGCTGGCGCCCGCCGGCCCCGGCCTCGCGCGCCCCGCCGGAGAGTGGCGCCGCGCGTCCCTCGGAGACGTGTCGCGGGGATGGCGTCCCGGCCGCCGTCGAGCGGCGCCGCGACGGTCACCTTTCACCGCCGGCCGGGAGCCGCTGTCGTCTGTCACCGATCGGGGTGTTGGTCTGTCGGGCCGGCTTGCGTCATCCGGCCGCCGGCCACGGGAACGCGCAGGCTCAAATAGGACGGGAAAGGGAGCGCGCCGCGAACACGCGCCGGCCACCGGAACGGGGCGTGTGGCCGCGCACCGCCGTCTCAGCCCCAGGCACCGCCGCCGTCTCGGCCTCAAGCACTTGACAGACTTCCGTTCTGCCCTGCTGGATGACGCTCCTCGGCCGTTTTTTTGCGGGTGAATTGGCCAGCCGGGCATGTCCGCCTTGTTCGCATGACCAGATTGCGCTGATTGCGTATTGTGCGCCGACAGTGCGGCGCGGCCCGCCGCCCGAGGGGTCTACACATGTCCCGATGCGCTGGGCTCGCGGCGCCGTGCCGTGCTTCCGTAAGTGCAGCGCGCTTGCTCTGTCCCAGCCGACGCCAGCACAGTGCACATTGTTCTGGCTAAGTAGCTGCTGTGCACGGCGGCCTCGCTCCATGCATTCATGTAGCGGGCGGCGGCGCGTCTTCCTGATACGGCACGGCCTCCGCCCCGGTCGGGTCGAGCCGAGATCGGGGCAAGGTCGGCTGCGGGGGGGGGGGGGGGGGGCACCTGCCGCCGCCCGGCACGCGCCTGCGCTTGGCCCGACTCTCAGCGTCGCCAGCCCCCGACGCTGGGGCCGGTGCGCGGCTGGGGCCGGGCCGTTGTGGCCGATATACTCGCGCTTCATGTGCGTTTAACGGCCTTGGCGTGGTGCGGAGAGATCGGTTTTATAGCGGCTGCGTGCGTGGCGCGGCTGATGGCCGTCAAAACGCTGCCCGGCGAGAGGGCGGCGGCGGACGGCGGACGGCGGACGGCGATCGGCCGGCAGATACGGCCGCGTCTGTCACCCGTCACGTCTCAAAGCGTGACGACGAGCCGCGCGCTGGCCCGGCCCTTACCGGCGGTATGTGTGTGTGGGCGCAGTGTGGGCGGTGCGCCGGCGGCGTCGGTTGGTTAGCCGTGCGCCGTCGGCCGGCCGTGACGCAGTAGCCCCTGCGGTGGCGGTGACTGACCGGCCGCCTGTCCACGGGCCGTTCGATGTCCTCCTTTCCACCGCCAACTCGGCACGGGGTAAAAACCTAGGCCGCCGGGCGGTGCCAGATGTGCGGCGCCCATTAGCGGGATGAAAGTGTGTCCACTGTCGGCGGCGGTGGGAGCGACTGCCGTGCGCCGCCCGCCGCTGTCCATCGCCGCTGCCCGTCCGCCGGCGCGGCAAACAAACGCCCCCGCCGCGCGCACGCTGGGCGGACCGCCGCCGGCGCGGCTGGCGCAGTTGGAGCGGCGCCACTGTCCCGCCGGGACCGCTGGCCGTCCTGCCGTGTCCTGTCGTGGCGCGTCTCTGGGCCGTGTTGTGACGGTGATGTCACGGCTCGGGACGCTTCCGGCCGCCGGCTGACGACGGCCCGCGGCGGGCGGGTGACATGTGTGACCTCGCCCGGCCCGCAGGCCCGCGCCAGTCACGGCCCCCCCTCCCCCCCCCCCCCCCCCCGACACGCGCGACAACTTTCTCCGGCGGCCGAGCCGCGGGCGCCGCCCGGGGCGCTGCCTCAGGTGCCGCCGCCACCGGCCGGGGTCGGGGCCCGCGCCGGCGGCGGCGGTGGCGGCGGCGGTGGCGGTTTAGGGTCGCCGCGCACCAGGTCACGCTCCGTCGGAGCCTGATCAGCGGCCGGCGCCGGCGCCGTGATCGCGGCCCGGCACGCGTGCTTGCCCGCCCGGCCGGCCGTGACGCGCGCGTGCAGCCAGTGCATCGGCCACGTCGCGCTTTTACTTTCGGCCCGGCACGCTGCGGCTATCGCGATCGGATCGGCTGCCGTTGCGCCGGGCTGGGCCAGCGCCGATCGCTCCGGCTGGCGGCCTTTCTACGGCGGGCTTTCGCCGGCATCTGTCGGGCCAGCCGGCCGCCCAGCGCCGCTCACGCACCCCAGCCGACGCCGCCATTCCGGGCGTGCCTCGCGCGCGCACTGTGCGTTGGCGTGCCGGCCGTCCGCCTGACACGGAAGGAGAGCAGCGCCCAGCGGCTGGTGGGCACTCTGCCTCTGCCTCTGCCTCTACCTCTGTCTCTGCCGCTGCTTCCGCCTCTGTCTCTGCCTCTGCCTCTGCAGTTGCCTCTGCCTCCGCCCCTACCCTGTCCTTAAAGCATTCTTCAAAGGCCGTTTCCACGATTGCTTTTGCAGGCATTCTTGTTTTATACATCATCCCCGTGATTTCCTCCCGCCGTCTCCCCTGTATCCAGTTTCCCTTGTCTGTTTGTGACTCGCCCTGGCATCCAGCGCATGTCCGCTCGCTGAATGCCGAGGAGGCAGCTCCTTTGTTCCGTGCCGTGAATTATTCCGAATTCTTTTAACGAAGCATGAGTGGGCGACAGTTGCGTTACAATGGCTTCCACTGTTACCGTGAATAGCGATTTTCTCAAGGGAGGCGGCCGCCCACCCGACAGGGCTTCGCATTATTGTGGACGGCTGTAGCGAAAGCATAGGTCTGCTGGTGCATCGCAGACCGCTAGCATGTCGTCCTTGGCCATCGCCCCCATCATCAACGCCAACGACGTCTTCTTTGGAGAGGATGCCTGCAGCGTATAGCTGCTTGGAGGCAATTGTGCTGGGAGGCGATGGCTGCTGGAATGTCGGGGCAGGAGTGGTGTCCAAAGCGTGGAGCTGTTGCGGGCTGACCCTTGACTCATGATCCTTGACCGAGAGAACGACAGAAGGTTCGAGTCGAGGAGCCCTTTCTCCCATTCAGAGACCGTCGCCCCCAGCCTCGCAGTGCCGGACATTCCGGCTGGCTTCTCTCCGCCCTTTCCCTACCTCTTTCATGCGACGTAGATCTCGCCTGTCACTGATTTATGCGGCCGATGAATGACTGCGGTTGACGCTCGAGTGTTTTCGTAAAGTCCGAGCAGAACGCCGGTCTCCTGCTTGCTGCAGCAGAGCGGTGGCGCCTGCAGACGTGTCGGCGTATCCGGCTCACTGCGCTCTGCATACGCGGCGGCGCGGCGTATCGCGGCGCGGCGGCGTGGAATTGTGACGACCTTTAGGCGGTTTCATAAGCGCAGCGTTCAGGTACAACCGGTTTTAGGCTGGTCGTGATTTGTGGTTGATAGTCGAGAATCTACGTTGGTTGCGTAAACCAGCGTTCGTTGTGGGCCATGATGGCGTTACACTATGTGGAGCTGTTTATGTCCCCGGACCGGGTGGAGAGATTGTCATCATCAAGATACGGTAAGTCAGTTCTGTTTATGTGAGACTCGCTGTATCGGTATGTCGTGCCTTTGTAATCGCGCCAGTGTCCGGGCTCATGGGAGCGGCGGACGCCATTGACACTATTCGGTGTATGGCACGTGCACACGGATCAGTTTAATTGATCGTTTCATATGCCATTATTGTCGTACAATGGCGGCATGACGATTTGGGGCCCCAATTATGTGCTTTGTTCACATCCTCGGAGTTTTACTTATCAGTAGACACACGGCATGACATTTCTAACACGCCACCATCGCGTTCGTACATGCCCTGTTGAATACGCGACTGGTGTGGGGTGATGGGTGCCCCGCTCCGGGCACTAGCACACACGCAGGCACGCACGTGGCGCGACGCGCCTGAGTTTCGGCTCCGTTTCAGTACATCAACGGCGGCAGCTTGGAGCAGCTGGTGCAGTCGCCGGAGTCGCTGGGCTGGCGTTGCCGCACGGCGCTGGCGCTGGACATGGCGCAGGCGCTGCACTACCTGCACAGTCGTCAGGTCTTCCACCGCGACCTCACCAGCAAGGTGAGCCCCGGGCCGGCCGGCCTGCCGCCGACGCCGGTCCGGTCCGCCCGCCCCGACCGTCAGAGGCGGGCGCCACTTGTGCCGTGCTGGTTTGACGGTCCGCGGCGCGGTCCAGCGCCGTGTGTTTGGGGCGGCGGCGGTCAGCGACCGGATGACGGCATCTGTTTGGGATGGTTGGAATCGCGATGATAAGAGCAGGCGTTGTTCAGAGCCTGATGCGGGTTGCAATTGATAGCGGAATACCTGCGTTAGTCGGCAGGTTTGTGTCGCGCAGACTGCCCAGTTTGATAAGATAGGCTGTGACCTTCGTCGGCGGCCCGGCCGGGATCCGGCCACTTCAGTCCGAGATAAATCCCGGAGCATCTCAGCGGACCTCAAATTGATGTATCACGTGCACCTGATGCGGCGGGTCGTGTTCGGGACATCTCGTTCACTGAAGACAGCCGGTGGCCGTTAGCCAGCGAATAGCGTCGCTGGTCCGGAGAGAGGTCACGGACTGCGTGCTGCCGCGCCCCGCCGTGTCCGCCGCCGCCCGGAGCGCGCCCGGCCCGGCGGGTCCGGCAGGTCGCCGGCCCGGTCGCCCAGACGTGCAGACAATGGCGGGCCGCGGCGGGGAGCGCGCCGGCCGGCGTCGGCCGTGACTCGCGGCGGCCGCACTCGTGACCCGAGATGGCTCTGGGAGCCGGCGACGGGCTCAGGCGGGACGTGTGAAGGAGGCCGCCACTTATGCGAGAGCCTGCGGTGACTCTCGCGGAGAGTGTCGTGACCGATGAAGCACGGGCGCTGCCAGCCGTGGGGTTGTGCGCGCTCTCTCAGTCGGCGGTCCTCAGGCGTATGCTACTATGCTGTCGACAATGGTCATGTGGTCGTTCGTATCGCTGCCGAATAGTTTTGGCAAGACGCGGGATGGGCCTGCTTTATGTTTGATTGACAACGCCCGAGCTCGAGCGTTACAACTGCACGCTCATCCGAGAGGCGACGGTAGCGCTCGGAGAGATGCGGTCGTCAAATGGTACATCGCGTTGAGATGCCATCATCACAATGATCCAGGGCCCGGCCATTGCGCTGTCGGTGCTGGAAGGATGCAGCCGTGTGGCGGCCGGGCCGCGCTCGTGACGTGGTGGCCGGCTGTTTCAGAACGTGCTGGTGCGGCGCATCGAGGACGGCTCGATGACGGCCGTCGTCGGCGACTTCGGACTGGCAGCCCGCATCCCCGACCCGCTGTGAGTATAGCGAGGTCGTCCGGCGCTCTGCCCGAAACGCGACCAATGACTGGTGTGCACTGAGTGTCTGCGTCTCCACGCCGCCGTCCAAATTTCCCCGTCTGCTGTGTTGTAAGTACCCCGCACCTCCGTGAGAGTGGCGGACCAGCCCTCTTAAGTACCACACCCCCCGAGTGAGGACTCGCCGCCGGCGGTAAGCATCGCGGCGATGACGCCCCATCTGAGAGCAATCATCTCGGGCTGGCCGAGTGCCAGACCCACGGCAGGCCGACTTCGGAGACGTCTCACCTCTTCCTCGATGGGCTCTGGTAATCCATATCGGACGCCGTGTATAGCGCTCCGAGCGGTGAGCTCCGCCCCCGGCACGCTCGCCCGCCGGCCACAGACAGACTAGCCCGCTGAGGGAGCAGCCGGGCTCACGAGGAGCGCTGCCGTGCCCTCGGCGCTGAGGGAGCAGCCGGGTTGGCAGGGAGCGCTGCCGTGCCCTCGGCGCTGAGGGAGCAATCGGACTCACAGGGAGCGCCTCCGTGCCTTCAGCGCGATACATCGTCAGCGATCTGACCGGCAGCGGAAGTGACGCGTCCGGCAGCTGACCGCTTGTTGTGATAGGCAGGGTGCGTCACGAACCGTGTCCTGTTGCGCGGGGGGGTCTGTAAGTCCCTGTATGCTGCTGATTGTACCAGAATATGAATCGCCCGTTTTAACGCCTCCAACTAGCACCACGTCATCGACCGGCTTGCTCGATGGACCGCGGGCAGTGGCGAGGCAGGGGCGCACGATATCTGTGTTTTCTCTAGAGCGAACTCGGGCGCCGGCTCCCTTCTCCTCATTGTGTGCAGTTGGCGGACAGCGCTTCTCTGGCGTGATATTTCCAGACCGAATTTGTCTGAAATATTGATTGCCGTGCCGGCGCGCGAACTTCAGGGGTGCTGTGTTTATTTTCTCGAGTTCTTGGTCACGTGCCCTGGCGCGTGAAACGACTACGTGGAAGTTGTAAAATCCATAGCGGTTCCACTTAGTGCCAAGATCTTGCATCATCCACCGGGACAGGCTGGCGTGAACGACCGATGGAAAAGTATCGCCATTCCCAAGCCTCGTTGTCTACGAGCGCTCTGCATCGTTCACATTAAAAGCTTGGTGATGATCATCCGCTGCCGCCACAAATGAGCGCAATAACGCGGTTGGATGTGTTGTCGAGGGTCCAAGACAAAACTTGTAATCGGTCGGTCATCATCGCGCTCGTGGATGACGGCCATCCAGCCCGCCATCATGACTCAACAAGTCGGGGGGGAACTGCCGCGAACACGAGCCGTTTCTTGTGGGTGATGAGGGGGTCTCCGTGCCAAAACAAACTCGGTGACAGGCATCTTTCGTGTTTAGCGTGAATTGCACTTTTGCGCTATCTTACTCGAACGTTCCCCCAAGCAGATGTTGACTGGCAGCGTATGCTTTAAATGCATAGGTCAGATTATTTGATCTGAGCCTGATCTTTATCCGTTCCTTCACGCATTAGAGCATAGTTTTTCTCTTCAACCTGCTCTTGGCTCGACCATTTCATGCGTGTCACGCACGTCACCGCCTGTGCGTGTAAACGCCGCGCTTGCGGCATCAACACCAGGCGTACGCGGATGCAGATCTGCGGCAGCCTGTCCGCCGACGCCTGCCACCTGGCGGCGTGCCAGGGTTGTGTCTCGTGACCTTTCGTCTCGCTGCGCCTCCGCCGGTGCCAAGCGGCGGCGGACGGCTGGCGCCCGTCGGCCCGTGCCGACCACACATCCAGAGCCCCCTTCCCCCTCCTCCGGGGACCTTGGCCCGGCGGCCGTGTGTGAGTCACTGCGGGGAGCGGGCCCCGGTCCTGTGACGATGACACGGCGTTTGCCAGGTGCGAGATAGTGTCCGCGGTGGTCCGAGCATGCGACAACGGGCCGGCTCGGACCGTGCCGGCCGCTCTGCGGCGCGGCCCAGCCTGTCCCGATCGCGCGGGGCTGTCGGTCGTTCACTGACCCGCTCTCTGGTCCTGATGGCCAAGTCCTGCCCGCCGCTCGGTGACCCAGCCCCCCTCCTGATCGTGGGGACCTTATTGAGAGAGCTATTCTCATCGAGAGCGTGGAGGCCGTTCGTCACGTCTGCCCCGTCACTGGCCCGGTGTGCCGGCCAGGAGACGGAGGCGTGTTGCAGTGCGGCCTAGCTCCAGGGCTTGTTGTCTGGCACGCCGGAAGGGAGTGAGACACTGCTCTGGGGATTACAGCCCGCGCCCCTCCGGCGCCGGCCTGCTGTAAACACGTCTCAGGGGTTGCGACTCACACTGAGGCCTGATGCTGATGGATGGAGGGCCGGTGGCGCCGTCGCCGGGCCTTCCGGTGACGATCCCACCGTCGCGGCCCCGTGTCGTGCCTGCTTCCGGCGCCCGCGCCCCCGTCTGTCGACGCTCGTCCGCCGGCTCTGACCGCTTTCCCCATCGCCGGCAGACTGCCGAGCCGCCTGAGCACGGTCGGCTCCTTCTGGTGGATGGCGCCCGAGTGCATCACCAACCGGCCGTACAACCAGCGGGCGGACGTGTTCAGCTTCGGCGTCATCCTGCTGGAGATGATCGGTCGCCTGTCGGCCGACCCGGACGTCCTGCTGCGCACGCCGTCCTTCGGCGTCGACTACCTGGCCTTCGCCGGCCTCTGCCCGGCGGACTGCCTGCTCGAACTGCTGCTGATCGCCTTCACCTGCTGCCTGGTCAGTCTGCCGCCAGCTGGGCGAACTGTCTGAGCCAGCTGTTTGGACAGTCTGAGCCGTGGGAAGAGCTTGGGTCGGCTCTGTGCTCATTCCGAACGGTGTCTGTGGTCAGTTTAAGGTGGGCGAGTATGAGCGGGTTTGATCGGTCATTTAGAGCTGCCTTTGTCTCATTGTTGACTGATCATTTGAATGGTCTGTGGTCTGAGCCGTGTGTGGGGCTGCTGTTGTCGGGCTGTCTGGCCAGCGTGCATGTCTTCTGCTGACTGAGCTGGCCGTCCAGTGAGTCAGCCTGTCTGTCTGTCTGATCAATAGCCCCTCTGACCAGATGAGAAGCTCCTTACTTCGACCAGCGGAGGGACGATCATCATTAAAGCTCCCGTTGTCGTCGTTAATCATTGCGAAAGCGAGTAATGATTTGTTAACTCTGAGATGATTAGTCGCCTTGGGATGTTGTCATTGTCGTTGTCTACTTAGCCCCGTGCAGCCCCATCTTCACGTGCGCGTGAACGCTTACTCCCCTCCCGTGCCACACCGGCCGCGCCCATCCACGTTGGCGCATGTTGCCCTCCGGTGCCGCGCCACAAACTCAGTAGTACAAACTCTGTCCACGCATTTGGCTTTGCAATTTAAAAGACGATGCTGTCCCTGCCGCAGCAGCCTGTCAGGCGCCCGCATGGCCTCGGTGGCGTGAGGTTAGCTAGTCGGATTAACTGGCGTTACGGGTGTGGTGGATGGTGGCTGCCGGCGCGACCGCTGTGGGGAGGTGACCCGGCACACCACGTGGGCGGTTCGGGGCGCTACCGGACAAAACTACTTACGCCGGCAACCATTCTGCCTCACGATCAGCGGCGGTTCGGGCCAGTGGCCGCGCCGCCCGCCGACTGTAAACGCTGCCGTGGCCAGTTTGGACCCGAGCTCTGGCGCCGTGCCACCGCAAGGGGAGCGGGCCCACGACTCTACCGACGGCCCAGCCCGGGGGCGTCCAAACTAAACACCGGTTGACTGCCGCGGAACCCCGCACGGCAAGCGGTCGGCCGGATATGTAGGGATCGGGACGGCCGGCTCGTCATCCCCTGACGTGGAGGCTAGCCCGTATCGCGCGCTATCTCGTGATGAGCTGCGCCGAGGCTCGTATACCTCAACGCGGAGAAGCGTATGGTGTGGCGTCTGAGGCTTCTGAATTGTTTATGGGGCGTCCCTGGTGTTCTATTGTACCGTAAATCATGCGATGAGATTCGCCTTTTTCCCGACAAATGGCAGTCCCGTCTGTACTGACGTAAGAAATCCCCGACTGGCGCAAGTCATTCCGCAAGGAGGCCACCTTGGTTGTGTTGGGACTAGTGTGCCAGCCCTTTTGACCTTCGTTGCCTCGTCCGTGTCAGCCGCTCGCGCCGACGGGCGCTGCCGTGCCGCTTCATCTCGCCTGATGTCCGCCGCCCCGTCTTTTGCAGCACGCGGCCAGCAGCCGGCCGTCGTTCGGCGAGCTCGTGCACCGCCTGGAGACCCTGCTGGCGGCGCTGCGCGCGCAGGCGACCGGCGCCGCGCCGCCCGTCCTGCCCACCAACGACCGGCAGCTGTGTACGTCACCGACACACGACACCCGTGCCCTTTATGCTGCGCCCCGTCCCCCCGCGGGCACATCGTCTCTGGTTCTGAGACTGATGAGAGACTAAGAGACTGAGAGACTGTTCAGCTCTGTGGCTAGGGCCCCTCGCTGCTGGCCCAGGCTGCGGCAGTCTGCTGTGGGTTTTACTCCACGCTCGTCACTTATTGTTGTTCTCCTCATTGGTAATCTTAGGGGTTCCGGTCGACGGAGGTAGTCAGCTCGTCGGGACTGGGCCTCGCTCTGCTCGTCGGGACTGGGCCTCGCTCTGCCCGTCGGGACTGAGTCTCGCTCTGCTCGTCGGGACTGGGCCTCGCTCTGCTCGTCGGGACTGGGCCTCGCTCTGCTCGTCGGGACTGGGTCTCACTCTGCTCGTCAGGGACTGAATCTCGCTCTGCTCGTCGGGACTGGGCCTCGCTCTGCTCGTCGGGACTGGGTCTCACTCTGCTCGTCGGGACTGAATCTCGCTCTGCTCGTCGGGACTGGGCCTCGCTCTGCTCGTCGGGGCTGGGTCTCGCTCTGCTCGTCGGGGCGGGGTCTCGCTCTGCTCGTCGGGGCTGGGTCTCGCTCTGCTCGTCGGGACTGGGCCTCGCTCTGCTCGTCGGGGCTGGGTCTCGCTCTGCTCGTCGGGGCGGGGTCTCGCTCTGCTCGTCGGGGCTGGGTCTCGCTCTGCTCATCGGGACCGAGTCTCGCTCTGCTCGTCGGGACTGAGTCTCGCTCTGCCAGCTGCGACTTGGTCGGTCGGGTATGAGCCGGCATTAACTTTCAAGCACCACCCGCGTGCAGCCCCGTATTGTTATTATGACCTCATGCAAGATGACCCTTTGAGTTCCTGGAGCTCGGTTGCACGCTTGTTGGTCAGGAAGGGCGACAGCGGGACAATGGTAAACAGTCTCTATCTGCCTGTCCTTGGATTCGCCACTCCGTCCCGAACGAAACGCCACTGAATTGTAGCGCCTGCAGTGCGGAGTCCGGCCACGTGCAAGGCGTTGCCGGACTGCCCAGCTATCAGTGTTGAGCTGTCAGGCTCCCATGCAAACTCCCCGGGTGACACAGACGGGATGCAGGTGTACTTTCCTCCTTGTCGGCATATCGGCTGCTTCCGATAGCCGACGGCCTCCGCTCCTCGGCCGTGCCGTTTTCTTACTCATGTAGCCGGTGCTTCACCACTGCGCAGTGTACACCGGGCACCGTCCGTGTCCTACTCATGTAGCCGGTGCTTCACCACTGCGCAGTGTACACCGGGCACCGTCCGTGTCCTTCTCATGTAGCCGGTGCTTCACCACTGCGCAGTGTACACCGGGCACCGTCCGTGTCCTCCTCATGTGGCCGGTGCTTCACCAGTGGGTAGTGTACACCGGGCACCGTCCGTGTCCTACTCATGTAGCCGGTGCTTCACCACTGGGTAGTGTACACCGGGCACCGTCCGTGTCCTTCTCATGTAGCCGGTGCTTCACCACTGGGCAGTGTACACCGGGCACCGTCCGTGTCCTACTCATGTAGCCGGTGCTTCACCATTGGGTAGTGTACACCGGGCACCGTCCGTGTCCTTCTCATGTAGCCGGTGCTTCACCATTGGGTAGTGTACACCGGGCACCGTCCGTGTCCTACTCATGTAGCCGGTGCTTCACCACTGGGCAGTGTACACCGGGCACCGTCCGTGTCCTACTCATGTAGCCGGTGCTTCACCACTGGGGCAGTGTACACCGGGCACCGTCCGTGTCCTTCTCATATAGCTGGTGCTTCCCCACTGGGCAGTGTACACCGGGCACCGTTCGTGCCCTGCTCATGCCGTCCCGGGGTCAGCCAATGGTCCACTTCGTACCGCCTCTGGCACGGCGACCTCGGCCAAGTGTGCAGATATCTCCTCGATGGTCTGGGGAGGGGAGGGGAGCGTCCGAGCGGCCTGACGCGGCGCGCGTGGCCCGATATCTTCTGATAAACGCATCACTCGGCGCTGGCGGTATGAGTGGTCTGATACGGAGATTGGGTGCATGGCGGATTGATGGACGGTATCTGAAGCCGAGTAAACACACACAGTCGCTGTCATTGGGTGGCGGTCTTCGAGGTAGGAGTTTCGCGCCTCGTGAGACGCCTGGCGCCTGTCGGCATGCCGATGTCTTCGGCCTGACATTCATTCTCGAGCCTCGTCGCTGTGCTGATTTATGGTGCTTGTTCCGATGTCGTCATAGCGACAACGAAAGCGTCTCGTATTTCAGTGCGGCTCCATTGAATGTCATTGTAATTCATCTTGCGACCACGGGCTGTGTGATGTCCTACTTGTCTGCCGTCGGTGTGGCTCCGTTGAAGTACTTGGTGTATGATATTTTGCGGGCAGTAGCATGAGTCCCTCCTTCAACTCGGGCATTGTGTGCGTTCTCTCCTATGATGTGGCTGTGCACTAGCGCCATCTATTGGCAGGTTTGTATATTCGTAGTTTAAACAAGTTGATTGTGTCGGATCGTCCACAAAGTGTCCACTTCATGCCAAATCTGTGCTCTGTGAGGTTGTATCTATCTCCGTTTGTAGTCCCCGTTTCCAGTAGCGCCACACAATGTCAAGTGCAATGTGTTCGCGGTTGTCATGGTATCGCTGACCAACGCGTCCTTCGGCAGACCGGCGCTCGCTCTCTGACAACGCCCTGGCGCAGCTGATCCTGGCCGAGACGTGCTCGCCGAGCGACAAGGCGCGCGTGCACCGGCGGCCGTGGCGGCGGCGCGAGCTGCGGCCGCGGCCGCTGCTGCGCGCGCCGCGCGACGTGGCGCAGTTCATGGCGGCGCGCGACCCGGCCTACCGGCCCGGCGACACGGCCAACCCGTTCAACAGCCTGCAGCGGTACCGGCACGGCCGCAAGGTGCTGGAGTACCGGAGCGAGCTGTTCAGCTCGTGCCTGGAGCTTCCGTGGCCGGCGGGCGCCGCCGCCTCACCGCTGCCGGACGCGCCGCGCGCCACCTGCCTCAGCCTGCCGGCCAGCCCCGTGTGCGGACGCCGCGGTGGCGGCGGCGGGCGGCACCGGCCCGCGCGCCGCCGGCGCTGGTGGTGAGCGAGCAGCCGGCGCTGCGCCGCCTCGGCTCCTGCGAGTCGGGCTTCTTCAGCGTGGGCGAGGCGGAGCGCCGCCTCGGCCTCAGACCTGTCGCCGGCGTCGCTGCTCTCCGAGTACAGCCAGGAGGAGCTGGCGCGCGGCCTGCCGGCGCTCGCCAAGCGCTCGTCGTCCGTGTACACCGACTCGTCGGACGACGTCAGCAGCGTGGGCTGCGACGGCGAGGAGCGCGACCGGCGCCGGCCCGACCACTACGAGAGGACATCCGCCAGATCGTCGAGTACTTCGAGCGCAGCGGCGGCGGCGGGGCGCGCGCTGCGCCACAGCCTCGGCTGCCGGCAGCGCGCGCTCGACCGGCTCAGCCTGGAGCGGGCGCGTCAGCGGCTCGAGCGGGCCGAGCGGGCCCAGGTGCCCGAGCGGCTGGTGGCCGACTGCCGCAAGCTGTTTGACCGGCGGTCGGACGGTGGCGGCGGCGCGCGCTGCCGCCCCAAGCCGCGCGTGCCCATCTCCGAGGGCACCGTGCGTGACAAGCTGACGGTGTTTGAGAGGAAGAGCTGAGCGCGCAGCGCCCTCTGGTACCGTCTGTGATTGGCTCGCCCCCTGCCGCTGGCCTGGCGCGAGCCCCGCCGCCGGGCGCCGGGCGCCGCTGTTTTGCGTAGTGCTAGCTGGGACTGTAGTGCAAAGCTGAATAGTACAAATCGGCGCAGGCGAGCCAGGCGCGGGAGCTCAAGCCCGCGCGCCGCATGCCCACTGTCGTGTTACCAGTGGTTCTCATGGGGCTGATGGAGTCAAACCAAGCTTGCCCGTGCTGGCGTGCTGTTCAATCCATTTGTAGGACTGTTCACCTGGGGATCGACGGATATTAGGCCCGATTAGTACGCTGTTTAGTACTCGTCTCTGGAACCACTCGCCGGAGGCTCGGTTCACCGGGTGGATGGTGACCGTCCTGCAATGTCCACTCGCGCCGAGCGGCGGCGGCCGGCGCGCCGTCCAGCCGCCGGTTGGTGTTCACCCGTGTCTAGTCGCCTGAGCAGAGATGCGCGCGCCACCGTGCGCAGGACAGTGTGCCAGGGTCGTCTTTATAGTGCCAATGAGCTGCTGAAACGATGTCTTCTCTTTTAGTACGCGAATGGTCTCTTCCGGTGTTGACTGAACGTCAGATGTCACTCGCCCCCCACCTTCGGCCCCGAGGCACGCGCGTGTGCTTCCATATCAACGATTAGTGCTCAACTGGTTATCTAACCCTGGGTGTCGCGTTCGGTAATTGTTACCATATTGTGATAGTTGCAAATGAATGCTCTGAGATAAGTCTGGATATCTTATTGTTTCGGAGGTAATCGCAGTTATTGATGTCTGTTGTACTTTTAATTCACTCGTGAAATAAAGACAGGATTGGTGACCGGCGTTACGAGCGTCGCACGTGCGTGCGCTAGGGTCCACGATCTGCGCGGCTCCTGTGACGGGGCTGTGATGAGCGGGTCACACAAACGAGGGCTAGGCGGGCGGCACGTCCAGAAGCGCCCGGGTGCATGTGGCTGGGCGTGGCCCGGCCGTCAGCAGATCTGCCTGAAGGGTGACGGGTGCCCTCTGACCGGAGAGGGAGCAGGGAGCAGGGAGGGAGCCCGGCAGGGAGCAGTCGGTCGTATCATGTCCGCCACCCGCACGTGATGGATGTCCGCTGACCAGAGAGTGCCCTGCAGAGATCTCTGAGCAGGGAGGGAGCCCGGCAGGGAGCAGTCGGTCGTATCATGTCCGCCACCCGCACGTGATGGATGTCCGCTGACCAGAGAGTGCCCTGCAGAGATCTCTGAGCAGGGAGGGAGCCCGGCAGGGAGCAGTCGGTCGTGCCATGTCCGCCACCCGCACGTGATGGGTGTCCGCCGACCGGAGAGCGCCTTATAGGGAGCAGGGAGGGGGCCCGGCAGGAAGCAGTGGGTCGTGTCATGCCCGCCACCCGAAGCGGCGCAAAGGAGTGTAGGTTACGGCAGTACCAAACATTCCCGGGAAGTTTGGAGTTTTGTTTGATCTCTTTAAAAGTTTGAATTTCGTCACTGCATTAGTGATCTTCATCGAGGGTATTTCATGCTGACGCCTTCTGTAAAGAGGACTGCAACCACGGACAGTTAGCAGGCCGAAGTCGTCACGGCCGCGGAAACGGGCAGGGTGGCCGAGACGGACAGGCTATGTGGTCCGGTTCTGAATGTCATCTTTCGTTAAACGCGATGTTCCAGTTTTTACAAGCTGAAGTTCTCAGCTGAAGGTCATTGGGACCAGGCACATTTCCGCCTACCGATGACCGGTTAAGTCAGACGGGCACGACGACGCATAGACTAAGAACTGGTCCGGTGGGCCTGAGATGTAGCTCAACCACAACGTATGCAAGATTCTACACCCTCATTAGTTAACAGAGATCGGCTATGTAGACAGGTCAATGGCTCCTACAAACTGTCATAACCTCCTTGAATCTAAGGCGTTTTTGTGGCCATACCGGAGAGTGAAAAAGTAATCATAGCATACGTACTTTTAAAATTCTCCTCAGAAGCCTTGTGACAGCAAACGTGTACAGGGCGAGCCTCTCCAAATGTGATACAGCGGTACACACCACTTTGGTACAGAAGGCGGGATGAGTTCGGTGAGACGCAAGTAGTCCGTTTCTAAAACACGTCCCTTCTATTTTGGACGGGGGGAGTGAATCGTAGGATATTCCTCCTATGTACATTTAATTCACCTACAATGGTTGTTGAGAAAACCACATATTTGAAAGCTTGTACGCACCAGGGAGCGACCGAGGGTTGAGGCTTCTTGTGAGATTTTGGTAATGTGTAACATTTCAGAGGATGTGTAGTGTCCCCAGTATTTTTCCCATTTTCCGTTTTCATCACAAAGCAAGCTGAGAAATATATTCTGAAGACAATTTTCTTCTGCGCGATCATCGACACTCGGTCGCTTCCGCGGTCTGGAAAAAGACGCCGACTGGCGGCGTTATTCTGCGGCACTACGTATCTGAATCCCAGAGCATGGGTTTGGCCCGACTGACGGAAAAGTCAGCTGGCAACTGGCCAACGAGTTCAACCCAAACATGAGGCAGCCGTGCCGCAGCATTGTGCGGCGCGTGGAAACCTTCGCAGTCGTACCTGGCGAAAGGGCGGAGGCAAACTTAAAAATCGTTAAATGTGGCGAGAAAACTTGGGTAGGAGGTTTCCGCCACTCACAACACAGGCTTTGCTTGGCGTTTACTCCAAATCCGACGCCACCCGTATAAGCATTTTGGAACAACTTGAGGCCAGAACGAGGCTGACGGTCAGGACTTATGTTTGTAAAAACTTTTGCCGGTAGGGAAGAGGATACTTTATTCTTGGTCTACCTATGAGGGAAGGGCTCACCAGTTACCAAGGATCCGCTTTTTTAAAGAAACGTTTAAACTTTTACAGATGAGACATCCATTGGCCAAGCACGAACATGACGCAGACTAACCATCATCGTTCATAACAGGCCTCAGCACACTAACAGCACAGCCGCTTCCCCCACCGAGAAGTCGATGGTCACTCTGGCCACATCGGCGCGCGCAACGCATCGGGGGGGGGGGGGGAGGGGCGGCAAAAAAGACGGACGGGAGGTCAGCGGCGGGGCAATCGCCGGCGTTTGATTGGACGCAATCGGATGGCTCGCCGACGCGGGATATGAATGCGCGATAAGATAGCGCACGCCGCGGGCGACGTTGTGTAGGCAGAGGTTAGAGGAGAGAGAACAGAGGAGAGCTTATTACCGACGGCCGCTGGCGTGTAGGGGAACGCGCGGGGAGGAGGATTGTAGCGCGAGCAAGCTGCTCTGCGTACAGGGCGGTCGATGTGCTAAGAGGAAAAGGGCTTCGGCCAGGGCTAGATAAGTCAGATCCCGTGACATGACCGAATAAAATTAAAGGAACTAAAGGAAGGGTTGGATAAACCCATGGGTATCGTAAAATGGGCTCGTTTCTTACATGGAATTGGAAACGGGTGGGGTTGGCAAGGCTTGTGGGGAAATTATGGGCATCAGCCCGGGTATGGTATTACGTGTACGGAATGTCTAGTAGATACTTCAAGCCACGCTACCGCTTTTCGCTACGATAAGTCTGAAGCGGGTGCGATGTTTCCTGTCGGTACCCGAATCATGGAAAAGCCTTCTGCATCTCCAAAGCGACATGGACATCTCCGCCTCACGAACCAACTGCCGTACCAAACGTGCGGAGGAAGCCGTTAACGACGGCCTGCTTCCAGCACGGACCACGAGAGCGCGGCTGACGACGCTGAGCGAGGCTGCGGAGCCGCCGCCCGCGGGTCACGCATTGCGGACGCGCCGCCGACAGCCGGCGGACGGGCGACGCGAGGCGCGCGCTCGCGCCGCCGCCGACTGCGGCGTGTTTTTGTTGACGAGGGCGCGGCAAAAAGCAAGCCGTGACGCCAGCAAAACACGGCAGCTCGGCGCCTGGACAAAAACGACGAAACCGGCGATCCGTAGCGTCGCTGCGCCGGTTATGGACGACTACTGGCGCTCCGAGTCTGGTTGCAGTCGGTCCGTACCGGAGGAAAAGTAGGTCTCGGCCAGCGGACAAAAAGACCGACGGGGTGAGCTCTTGGGAGGCTACAGAGAGCCGTGCCCTCGATTTCTCCTCGCTTGCGCTGCAACGACAGCCGGAGGCGGTTTACGCTCATCGGGGCAGTTTTTCAGACTGTTTATGATCGCCGTGTGCTCTCACTTTTACTAACACTAAAATCAGCGCGGATCTCGGGCTTCTGAGTATGGCGTGCGCGTGTTTTAGGGGACTGGATATCACATATCGCGTGATTCGCACACCTATGCATGTTCGGATATACATTTACGTTTTGTCTGGGGCGGGGTCCCACAGACCGAGTACAGGGCTCGCGTTGGAATTGCATTGTTTTGGTGTGTACTTACAATGCAGGCGTTTTGTCACAAACACACCATGCTCACGTGCCTGGCGATCCGTGCTTCACGCGGCCGTGTCATGGGCCTGGTGATAGCGGGTGGCAGTTCAGCACTGACCCCGCTGCTAGGGCGTAGAGACGCGGCGTCCAGATAGCTGTCTGGCTGGACGTTGGCGCTCCTAATCGGAAATTTTTCGTCGGGCCGGCGCACATTTCGGATAAAAAACAGCGCAAACTGACTTTTGCAGGTATGCCCCATAACTTGATATGCAGATCACACGCAAAGCCGCGTAATATTTTAGTAAATGTGCAAATATGTTACTTTTGAAACTTCGTTGATGTTAGCCCTGTGCTGGTGAGATTGTGAGACCTGCGCTGCCTCGCCTCGCGCTGAACCGAGACTTGGACACCATGTCCCGAATTGACCCGGACTGGGTGCTTCCATGCCCCACACTGACTTAAGACTGGGTGGCCAATTAGCGGGTGTCGTGTTTGCCGGGTCTGAATGTGACTTCCTGTAGTAGCATGAGACCGAGTGATCACGCTCGGTCAGGGCGCGGGCCAGCATGACCACGTCTCGTGCTACAGCTCGAGCGGATGACCGACGTCCCTGGCCGACCCGGAGCTGCACGA